GTCGTTCATCTTCCGGTTGGACATCCTAAGTGTTGGTTCGGCCCTATGTTATGTTTGAGTGTGAGTGTGTGTGTGTGTGTGTCTGTGTGTGTGTGTGTGTGTGTCTGTGTGTGTGTGCGTGTGTGTGTGTGCGTGTGTGTATGTGCGTATGCGGTTGCTTGTGCATGTGTGTTAGTTTGTCTGCCTCTTGCGTTTTTTCGGTTTGCCTGAATGTAACTCAAGAACAGTTTGCACTTTGGAGCCATTTCCCGTGGTCAAGGTTTCCCGAAAGAGTTGCTTTGATAACTCAACGAGGCTTGCGCCCCCAAATGCACGTTTGCCCTCCGTGCAGATAACAAGAAACGTAGGTGAGCAGCGCAGACCTGCATGCGCAGTGACTGAGTGCACTCTATTTTAAACATTAAGGATGTGCATTAAACTGAATGCGAAAAACTAGCATGTAGGGCTATCAAACCTCCTTCTTGCGGGAGTGGTATATGCAATGCCCTAGCGCTGGCAACGCTGTTGCATTTTCAAAGGACTTGCCAACTAAATTGAAGAAGGTAGGTTGGAATCACTGAGCTACGCTTCGAGCCTACAGAAAGTTTGTTGGATGTTTGCCAGTGGAAGAAATTGCGAGGATGTGGCTATAGCTGGTTATTCGGTAGCAAATGTTTAGATGCATTGGTGGGTTTGTTTGTGTTGTCATTCTTTTGTCTGCTGCTGCTTTCTTCTCGCTCCTCTGTGTTCCCAGTTATGTGGGTATTACTATTTACAAAATGCATGTGTAAGCAATTTATAGGTAGAAACGGTGCTCCAACATAGTACGCAACTTGTCGAATCAGCATGCATTGAACAAGGGCACTTTTGACTGTGGCTGTGGAGATATCAGTAAGAATAAGATGTAATAAAGGCTTTTCATTTGCTTTGTAGCTCTGTTTAGCCAAATACCTGCACGATTAGTGTGCATCATGTACTGATGTCCTGATATAGAAGCGGCGGCTCTCCAATACAGGTGCTTTATCTCCTGGCCATAATTGCAACTCTGTGAAAGATACATAATCTTGTGCTACAGGAAGTCCGTTTGATTATGACTGACTAAATGCCGGAAGAGGAATGGTAGATGTCACATCCCATGAAAGTGCATGGAAAGTGCATTGATGGGATTGTGCGCCTTGCATGCGTTTGCAGAGCACAGAAGCCCATCCATCCATCAAATGCAGATGCAGGTACCCATGCCATGCATGCCTTAATTTTTGAAGACACGTTTAAGTGCTGTTGAAGACACGCTCAAGTGCTGTTGATTGTAGACTTCGTGTTATTCGACGCAGAATCCCTTGTCACTTCGTTCATGTTCATGGCATTGCAGCTGTGGATTCTGAGTCCGCAGGCATTTCGGGTGTATGTATAATAAAAATGGTGCTGACCCAACGAGCCATTTTTCCCGTAACAGGACTAGAACGTGGGTTTGATTTTATAGCGTTTTCCTTTTGTTTTGCTAAGCAGCAACTCCAGGATAGTATAATGACCAAGGGTTACATTTTCACCTATGTGTTTTTGGAAGACACGCTCTAGCACTTTTGTCGAGCTATGGGAATTGTCCTGGGATTCTTACACCATGCTTTTTAATTCTTGCTAATTCAGAGCTTTTTTTAAACGATTGAGGCATTGCCTGCACAAATACGTGGATGGCTCTGATCGCTAAAGCTCTTTTCCAGATTACATTCATTTTTCCCCTAGGGTCTCTAACACTAGTTTCAATATTTCACTCCGTGTGCTTCTTTGCCGCGTATTTTTCTTTGTGGCTTCCTTTCCTCTTGGTTAATGGACTGCATGTCCTGGTCCAGCGTCCTCCTGCACACGAAAATAGACAGCATACAATACTTAGTTGTAGTAAGCTAGCTAGCCCTTCAAGTTTTGCATATAGCACGCCGCTGCTGTTTTCTCTTGCCTGCAGCTTGTTCAATGAAGAATCACTTTCCGTCGTAAGGAGGCCCGTTTGTGGTGGTCCAACTCTATTGCAGTCTGTATTGTCTTCGTTTTGATTCGCATAAGCTTTAACGCTGTCAGTTACTTGGACGCGCGTAGAGTGTTTTTTCCAGTGCTCTAAGAAAACGAGAACTACTCTTGGAAATGAAACTCACTATTTGAGAGACTAGCTGTAAACATGCTTCTCGAAGTAGGTGGAAGCCAGCCAGTGTGACCCCAAAAATCTCTCCACATGAGCTTTTCTCCAGTTGGCCGTGGTCTCCTAGTGCACACTACTATTTTGCCGGCTAAACTTCAAACTTTATTTATTAGCCTCCTTAGCCTTCTCTACTGAATACGGAGGAGATGGCTCAGCGGGTTGCAAGCGTCCTCTTTCTAACACCCCGTGCTGCGGATTTCGTGAGGAAAACGCCCTCCGCCATGTTTGCGCCCATGAGTCAACCATCACGAAAAGTACAAATAAAGCCATGAATATTGTTCAGCGTTGCACGTATAATCCTCCTTCTGACGCTGGGCAAATTACCATTAACTCCAAGTGGTAGTAGCGACTTGTCGCCACGGAGTGTAAGCAGCCTTCATGCATTCACGTAAAATCAATACTCATAGGACAGCCAACAATCCACAGTGCCAGGGGGCTGAGGTTATTGCGAGCCCAAATTGTCTTCCTCCACTCCGGCTGCAGTGCATTGACTCCTTCTGGCCTGTTTTAAGGTTACCCGCTGAAATGTAGGAGTCGCCAGGGATTCACACGTTTTTCATAAGCTGGACAGCTCCATGACTCGGGGGCACTGGTGCGTGGGGCTACAGGGGTCTCGCAATTCCGGAAGATTATTTTATGCAGTTTCAGTGAACGTGAGGTACAATGGAATTCCGGAACAGTCCCCAATTGTAGTAAGTTACATACAGTACAAAGGACTTCTAGAACAGTCCCCAGTTCTAGCGAGTTACTCGTAGCTCCACGTCTACATTGTTTCCTGGATGATTGTATTCCATCAAGGCATAAACTCATGCAGCAAAGAGTATAAAATAAAATTTGGCTTGAGCACTGGGCAATCTTGGAAGGAAGAACGTTTTATCTTTCTTGGCGTCCATGTAAGAGCTAACGGCGTCAGCTACTCTGGCCTAGCTGCTGGGCACCATCCGCCTTCTATTACGAACCCGATTTTGCTTACGTGGAACTTCTTTAATTTAGCTCTAATCGTTTTCATTCCAGATTTTATGCCCTCTGGAGGTTGTTGGGGCGCAGAAGTGCAGTGCTGGGCAGTGCAGAGTGCCTGTTGGTACAACACCTGTTCTTCCTGCAGACAGACAGCAGTGCACTGCAGACTCTGAAGGTGCTCATAAGCAGATGTAACATAGGTCCTTAATGTTCCATGAGCTTATAGTTTTCTGGGCTACACGCTTAGGTACGGCAGTGGCTGCGTGTTCTGCTTGTCCCGGAGCGAGGAGCTAGACAGGCCGACGCGCTCCCGATAAATTTTCAGTTGTATGAAGTGCTTCAGCCCAAGACCACTCTACCGCGCTTCGAATATACACGATAAATAAACATGAAATGCGTCAGGGAACCTCAGGCAAACTGGATGCTCTCAACCTGAGAGGGCTGAAACACCCCTGGAGGCCTAGGAGCTTAAGTAGACTCAACAGATCCCTCTTCCGAGTACACTATAGCCAAGATAGAAATGCCACTACGACAGTCTCTAGCGCAATTCCGGCGGCCAACGCCAAACAACTGTGCTGACTGCCGGTGAAGTCCCCGGCACGTCTTCCCTGGCCGTCCCTGTGTCGTTTCGCCGTAGAGGAACGGACTTCGGAGTATTGGATAGCGTATCATGCTAGTTCGTTGCGGGCATTGATTAGCATTTATTCTCGTCCCCAAATTCGGTGCAGCTCAACTCCGCCTGGAGAGCCTCTAAGATGTGTCAAAGCCTATCACGAGTTGCAATCACATTGCTTACAGCCTACATGCAGCGTAGCTGCAGGTGAAGCTAACGGTGCACTGCTGAAATTGTTGACCTTGATGGTTCACAATAGGCCTGACTCAGGCCGTCAGCCTTCCTTCTGGTATCGAACTACAGGACTGCGTGCTCAGGCTTTTGCGGCCGTTTCTTGTTGTGGCGCATATCGTTGTATGTAGTGCCTCGTTTAGCTGTTTGAGTCCTCTGGAAGCTTACCCATTACTGCGCATACTCTGAAAGTCTTCAAAAAGCGCTGAGGAGAGGGGATAATCCTTGACAAACAGGTACGACCATCCCCCACAGGCAACAAGAGCGCGGAAGTCTTCGTCTGATGCCACTGATAAGGTTGAAGGCCTCATCAGTGGCGTTCTTCACAGTGCAGTGCCCCACTAGCATGCACGGAGTTGGTGTGGAGGAAACACAAGAATTTCCACTGAATGCACGAAATCAATGTCGAGGTAGTAAGGGACTGCGCAGGAATTTACTGCTGTGGCTTTCATCGTCGTTTCCTCCTACAGTAGCAGTTTTTCAAGCCCACTCAACCTTGTGCACCGCGGATACTCATGGTTACATGCAGAGCTCTGGCCTGCACAAGGCTTGAACCATTCAATGCGCTGTCACTATTGCTGGGAATGTCTAGCATCCCGTCAGGGCCTCCCCGGTACCCTCTTCGCAAACATTCGAGCACCATTAAAACAAAACTTTACAACACTCGAAGCAGCTTCGACAACGATCAGAAAAGCAAATATCGAACCGTGAATGAAATAACGCCAGTGTGATTACGGTTAATATTTCACGGACCACAATTTCCCACCTACTTGAAGTCCACGTTGTAATCCTGCCCGCTTTCCTCTCTACAATCAAAAGATTGATCAAAGCAACGGACCAACGGAGCAACGGAGCTAGTTCACAGCAAATGCTTCGAACATACTGCCACTGAGCGAATAAGCACTGAAATGTACCAACCACAAAAGCATCTCGAATCGTTTTGAGGTTCCCCACTTGTGATGCGGCAGTTTCCTACAGATTTTGCAGGCACCAACTGAAGAGAGAATATATCACATGGTTGCTGTGTCTTCATGTCAGAGTGTACTGGCCGTCCTTGAACTTTTGCTCAGGGAAGAACGCCGCACACACTACACGAGTCTGATCAAAACGGCGACCGTTCAACATGTACTGTGCCCTGCGTGCCGATGTGACGTCCCCGTACACCAAGAAGACCTGAAAGTACAGGAATATTCCGCAAAGCACTGAAGCCCGTAAAGCAGCAGCATGCAGTGTCTAGATAAGCAAACGGGAATAGTAAAAGCCAAAAGGCACAAAACGACAAGGAAAAAGGATCCTCTGATTCCCACCTTCCCTACACCTGGCTTGTAGGACAGGTCTTCGTTAGGTCTTGGAATAAGGACCTCTTCAAGAGGCCCATACTTTTCTGCTTCTGAGCGAATATCTTTGACTGCTGCCTCGTGGCTTGAGTCTGTCATCTGTAGAAGAATGTTACACATAGGACGAGGAATCTGTGCGCTGAGCGCAAGCAATAATTCCTACAAGAGCAGCAGCGTATCCCAAGGTGACTGGACCATTTGAAAACTATACTCAGCAGCTGTTCCTTACTATATCTTCAGGATAAATTGTATTCAGAAGTTGTACAACACGAGAAGGCTTTTCACCAATCGTTCGTCCAGCTCGAACCTGTAACGACAAACTAGCGAAAGTGCTCAAACACATGCCGTTTTTTACACCGTTTATGAACACAGGGACTGTCCCCATGCGAGTGAGATACGGCTCTGACCAACCGGGAGTGCCCGTGTCGACAGTTTGAAAATCACTTGCAAAGCATTCTAAAAGGACGGCAATAGACCGTCTGAGGCAATAAAAATGAGCGGCATAACGTACCTGAATAGCTACGACAGGATCAGACAAAACAGCGTAGGAAGTTGATGACGGCAAAGCAGTGACCTCTGTTGTATGCTGTTTAGTCGGAAGCAGATCAGGCATGAAGTTGGACCGCTGGACGCTTAGCACGCTTGCGCCACATACGAACCCATTTAAAGCCTGAGTTCGCATATTAATACAGTGATACGCCACGACACTATCTAAGACGTGTAAACCACACTGTAACAGTAGTTATGTCTGCTTTGCTTCCCCACTCACATCTATGGCCTGATCCGTAACTTCTGGGTCTTCATACTCGAAAAAGCCGTAGCCACGATGCTTCCCAGTTTGCCTGTTCTTAATCAAGTTGAGAACTCGTAGTTTCCCGAACTGCTCAAGCAAGTCACGTACCTATACACAGCATAAACCGCTATGGAACACGTTTTAATAACGATATCGCCGCTTGTTCGTGCTGGCCTTCTCGCCAGTTGCAAGGATCAGCGCGAAATTCAGCGGAAGGAATCATTGTATGGTTCGGAAGTTGTCTGGATGCTGCACATACTTGATCCTCTCCCATCTCCGGTGGCAAATTCTGGATGTATAGCTTGCAATCTGCACTCCTCGGTGGCGCTGTGGCGCGGACCTCGTTCTGCTGTGGTCTGTGCAGCGCAGCGCCACTGGGCATGCAGTGCACTACCGATGGAACAGCTACTGGCTACATGCGCGCAGCTTCGGAAGAAGTCTGCAAACGTCTCATGCGCTTAACCGTGTAGTCAAGTGCCACAAGATTAAGGCCTCACTTTGTCCCTCTCTCTAACTCTGGTATGTGGACAGTCTTCGCGGGGTCGCCCCCTGGAGGCTGCACGTATTCCTTCGGTCTCATCACTTTGAGGGAGTTGTTGTTGAAAGTAATACCTAAAGCGCATCGCACAAAGCAGCCCTTTTACCCAGTTCAATATCATGCCCCCAAAAACTCAGTTTGCAGCTGATCTACGCCATCATACAACCTTCAATGTGATATATGGGTACGCAAGTCACGGCAAGCTTACCGTCTAGTTTGAGGCACAGAACAACCCACTCATGAGACCTCAGATCCAGGAAACAATGACGGCTATTTTCTTGGAGGCCTTCACACCTTTCTACTGGCAGCAACTGCGGCTTGTCACTAGCAAGAGACAAGTCGGTGTAGCCCGTCTGAGCATTTACCGCAAGTAACGCGCCATTGAAGAAACCACAGATATCTGCCTCAGTTGTGCCTGAGATGCTCCAAAAACAAACACAAGCGACCTCATACGTAACGTGAATATGCGAGAGACCTTGAAATTCGTCAGACCAACAATGAAACGAAACTGCTGGAGTTTCCAATGCGAATTCTATAGTTTCACGGACATTACCGAGCAGCGTCCCTGCAAAGCAAGTCCGGCTTACGCTAACCTGGAGGGATGTTGCTGATGAAAAGCCGGCGTGCAATTCGATCTGACTCAGAGTGCGTAACTGCACGAGCCGATGGTGCCGCCGGATGCGCGGTTGGTGGCGCCCCCGATGGCGGAGGCGGAGCGCCGCCATTCCCCCCTCCCTCGGCAGCAGGCGGCGGCGAAGAGGGTGGAGGAGGCTGAAACATCGCATTAAGACTTTGTGCTAACTTGGTGCGGGCATCTGCAGCAGCTGCTGCAACAGCAGCAGCGTCCTGTACAGAGACGACAGGGGCGTAAGTCGTCCTGATCTTGCTCGCTGCTGGCATAAGCCGTGTTAGCGTAGAGTTCTTATCATCTCCTGCTGCCTTTCGCGCCGCTGCAGCACGTGCAGCAGCAGCTGCAGCTGCCGCAACAACAGCTGCGGAGTCGGAGCCCCCCTCCGCACAATCCCCCGCTACTTCTACACGGCGATCTTCCACACTGCGAGACCTGCATAAACCCCATGCATAGTGCCCAAAAAGTCGCGGCATCAGATGTGAGCTTCAACACGGTAACCTAAGAAGAAACTGCACGGGGAGATACTCTGGGCAAGAGGCATACCGACTGCGGCTCCTCCTTTCGGGGCCATCGTCACTCGCCGCGGAAGGCGGCATTGTCGCATCAATACGAAGACTAGACTGCAAATAGTAGGCTCGACTTTCCCACAGAAAAACGATGAATGCGCAGCGGCTCGGCTGGCCTCAGTTTCTACCGACTTCTGCTAGCATTGGGAAGGACCTCAGATGTTCAAAGGTAAAAAGCCAATAACTATTTGTTTCGGTGCCGCCAGATATGTCTTCAGTACACAAATCACCAATGAAGTATATGAGCAGTTCCACTACAGTGGAGCTAGGTGAGCATTAAGCAAGCCTCCGCAGGCTTTTCGCGTGACGTATACGGCTCTCGGCAACAAAATACATATGCAATATGATTTTCTTGGAAGTACAAGATACAGCAACTCTTTTAAAAGGGCGAAGCGCTGAGACGAGGACTTCAGTGAATTTTGCATGCAGGCCCAAAAAGGCGTGTTCTAGCGTCAGTGGGTTCTGCGATTGCCAAAAAAGTAGTTTAAGCGTAGTTCTTGGACGTACAAAAATCGGTCCTGTTCAGCGTAGTTTGTGTAGTGGCTTGTGGCTTGCCCAAAGGAGTGTTCCTGTCTGGCCCTGTCGGCTCCTGCCAGGAACGCCATGCTTTGGAGCTACACTGAGACCTGCACTGGTCATAGCGGGCTTGCACTTCCGATGAATAGACAACGCTGTATCTACGAGGTGTACCGACCAATATGGAGTTTGTGAATGGCTGCATTCATCGAGCGTTCTGTCGCTACTGGCGCACCACGTTCCTTTAGAAGGGTGCGAAAGACATGAGATTTTCCTAGGGCATTTCCATGTTCGCAGGATGCTATGCTGGAGGTACATCGTCACATTCCAGCGGCAGTATCATTTGTTAACATGGATTTCGGACTCCGTTGTGCAATATTACGCCATGACGAACAAACGTCTCACTGCCACAAAAACTGGGAACAGTCGCTGTAGCATTGGATATTGGGATTCAAGTTGAAGCCGCACACTGGCAAAACAAAGCCGAAATTTCGTTTATAGAAGAAACGATGTGGTGGGGAGACGGTCCAAAGTGCATCGCAGGCAGGGACTTTCGTCACTACAACACAAAGTACTATGGAATTTGTCCCCAATAACCTTCCCAGCAGCTGCCAAGTTTTCTGAATTTCAGATGAAATGCAACTGCCTGTATCCAGTGTCTTGCAACAAACACTAAATATCCGGGGGTTGTTTTGCTCGTACGAACCACGAGCTCGTAAACACCTTTGCAAATACGTTGCAACATCTTGAACGACAGAAGTAAGCTTCAAAGAACAATACGGCTACTGGCGACTGGGCGTTGCTTTCGCGATGGAAGGACTGGGTGGCAATTAGTTGGTGGACTGATGCTGTTAATGCAAGTGCTGAATGCTGAACTGCTGAAGGCTGCATAGCATTGCGAAAGCTACTTTTTCCTTTTTCTGATCTTCCCCTGTCGACACATAGCTGTGCCTGCCCTGGACAATATCGGTCTCGTGCCCGAAACGTGTGCGTGGGCTTGCTGATGGAGCGGAATATCGCAAAGGGGACGTTTTGTTCAAGCTTCCGAATCGCTCTCTGTGCTGGGTGGGGACTGAAACGCGCGCTTGCTCTGGTGTTTAAGTGTCACGACGAAGTTGCTACCTGTATATCGCCTGCCACTGCATTCGGCTTCTTTTGCTGTCGCTCTGGTACTGTCCAGCTAAACCTTATTTACATATACTGCTCATCCGCCCTGAGCTCCGCGTGCCTGTTAATGTGTCCTGTGACGAACAGATCAATGCTGTAGCTCTGCGCACCTCTCCCGAACCACCTACGTGTGGGAGACAGACTGTAGGCTAGAGCTGATAATTTTCTGAGGTTTACTGCAGGCCTTAGCAGCCAGCGGTAGGAAGTACAAGTATAGGAAGTAAGGATTTTTGGGGAGACACGCTGCGGCCGCTAATCTATAACGGGAACAAATGCTTTCCCGATGGGCACCAGCGTGAGCTGTTCCGAAAGGCGTGAACAGAATAACGTGTGAAGTTGTCGTGCCGAGCCTGCAGAGGAGTGTCTACACTGATACCACTGTGAAACGATGCAGAAAAGCTCAGCTTACTCGCTGTAGCGCAGCTTGTATGGTTCAGTGAAGTTCAGTGAAAGCTACGAAGATTTGCACATCCGTTTTGGCGCTGCTTCTCCGCAGCAGTACCCCAGTTGCTGAAGAATACAGCAGATAAGCATGATGCACCAAATCGTAGTCTGTTTAAGAGATTAAGTGGTCTCACTCACTTTTTTTCGCAGTGAGTTTCTGAGTTGCACTCGTCGCGCCGAAGAGTATTGCGACCGCGCAAGAGGCCTACTAAACATTTCACCACAACACCTGCAAAGCTTCCGGCATTTACAGGAAACCTAAAGTTTACTTTCAAATGCAAGAACATCGGCAAGTGAGCAGCTCGGTAAGTTCCACGCTGAAGTACAAAACCTCAGCTGACCCAGATTCCGAGAGTTCATGACCTCTGAAACACGATCTTTTGGCCTGGGCATATCCACCATTGCTCAGAAGTTCTCAACGCCCTCATAATGAGAAGACTGCAGGCATTTCATCGAGCTTTCCAACAGCGCAGGCTCTTGCCTCTAAGCGCGGTCCTTAAAGCACATGGTTGGCGTACGGCATGTCCTGAGCACGACACGGCAGTACTGCCCGTAGTCCTCTAGTCCCTTAATAGGCGCCTCGATCTAAGCACAGTACGGTCTGCGCTCCTCTACTTGCAAAAGTTTTCACAAGCTTACATATATTCACGCGAGGAACTTCGTGCATGCAACCAACATTACAAAGCAGACTAGCCACGAAACACTCTGACAGGATTAAGGCGGAGTGTATTAGTGGCACTCCGGAAGGAGCTAGAGCTCTTACCACTTTCGCTGCAGACTTTGTGTTCCCAGCAACTGCGCATGCTGCGGCTTCCACCGGATGGAGCTGTGTTCTTTCTCGTGGTCAGACCGGACGTGGAGGAAGGTTTTTATGAATAATTGACGAACCTGTTGGGGAACGCTGGAGGCAGCTGCTCTGATGGTGTGCGGCGGGAAGTGAGCTAGCGGAGGAAAAAGCACCAAATTTTGGATGGGCAGCACGAATTGCGTGGAAGACAGTTTACAGCTGAGTGCCGTGCTGCGGGTGTCACAGAATTAATGCGAAATCGTGGGGGAGGCCACATCTGGAGGGCAGGACAGCGTCTTTAGGCATGATGAGAAAGTCCAGATCATGTGTCATCAGGCTGTTTAGTCTAGTGGTATGATTCTCGCTTAGGGTGCGAGAGGTCCCGGGTTCAATTCCCGGAACAGCCCTCTCACTTGGCGCGTCCGCCGGTCTTTTTGCAATGCTTTTTGTGTTTCTTTCTAGCAACCGCTTGTTAGACAACCTCCACATGAACGAACTGCGTTTTGTCTCATGATGGGACCGGCTGTAGCAGAAGGTTCCCACGAATAATTCGCAGCCTTGTTGGTATATGTTGAAGGCAGTCGTTCTGTTTGGATGCGGCGTTGACTCTTTGCTTACTTGTGGCCTGCACTTGGAAGTTGGAAGTGGCTGCGAGGGCCTTCCGCTATCGTGCTGACTGGAAGTCACAACACGGATAACAAGCATAGACTTTAGAAGTGCAAGGTGTACTTGAAAAAACGAAAACACAAAGCGAAGCAAAATGAAACGCATTGAAGCCGAAAAACCAAGCATGAGCTGCAATGAAATGAAGATTTTAGTAACGGAGTATGCAAGCAGAAAAATAGAGACTAAGCGACAAAAGCCTGATAAAGTGGATAAAGCTTGCAACCAGTAGTGGTCAGCATGGTCAGGCCCAGGCGTCTAATTAGTTAGCATTAAAATCGAAGTGAAGATGAACGGATGGTAACTGCAAGAGAAGAATCTAAATAGATTTAAGTACGTCAGAGCAAAAAGAATAGACGCAAGAGAGAGAAACAACATACAACTGAACAGCTGCAGCATCCAGCATTTCAAAATCTTGTGAAGCGACAAAATGCCCCAATAACTGAGGTCAAGCCGAACGTTAAAGGGAGCCAAGGAATAAGCAAATATAATGAGCTACGAGCTATTAAAAATATGGCAGCTCTTAGAAATATGCCCGAAAGAGGCAAAACCCGTGGAAAATCCCACCTAGAGTTCACGTAGGGCTATAGCTACATCGAAGGAGAAAAGCTACTCAAATACAGCACGCAGAAGCACCACTCAGTTTTAAAAAAATACAAGGCCTTGCATTGTAGAAAATCAATTTAGGGCGACGAGTCTATATTATGCTACATAGCGGAGTGTTTAGCTGCCCTGGAAGACTGGAGTTCTGCGGGAGCAGTCAGTAAAAGCGCTCAATCCTTAACCCTAACTTCAGTTTCCGACCCCCTAAACCTGCAAGTGCCTGAGCAAGACTGTCGCTTCGGGGGTCTTTCTCTCTTTTTGAAAAGGTTCCCCCTACAGAGGAGCAGCAAAACACAGGCAGACCCAGAGTAAAAGAAAGAAGTAGAGCAACAGGGATTCCTCATTTTAAATCGCGCATTCCCCCACCTGGGCAACTATCATGGCGGCTCCCAGCTGTACCGTCCCAGTGCAGTGCGCGAAGAACCTTTCCATTCAATCTCTGAATTCTTTTCATGACATCCTCTTATAAAGTGTTAAATTGCGTTTCTCTCTTTTGTACCCTGGTGTGGCCGGCCACTGCAGCTTTGGGTGCCTGCTGTACCCGCTAGATAAACAGCTCAATCGCTTCTCTATTCGGCTGAGAATCCATTTGCCGTGGCAGCTACACGAGGGGTTGCTGCAGGTTCGGACTTGCTTCAGGGGCTTGTGCGTTGCTGGTATTTGCGGATACCGCAGGAGAGGCAGCCACAGCTGCTCGCCTCGCTGCTGCAAGTGCTGCAGAGCTCGTTTTTGGGGCTGCTGCGGCTCTAGTTGGGGTGGCTTTGGCGGCGACTGTATGAGGCAGTTTGTGAAGCTCGGTGGTTGCGGTGGTTGCTCCGTGGCTTACAGCGATTACTGCCGTGTCCCGCTA